GTGGAGCATCTACCCAGCCTCCGTTTTTCGCTCTCCTTCGTGTACATGACACGACAAAATTATAATAAAAACCACTGATATCTGTTATTTATGAATAGATGAAATAGAAATAAAAAACAAAACAAAAACGATGTTGAAATCAAGAGAGAGCGCTCCATTATTTTCTTCCTCGTCGTCGTCGTTATCAGTGTGGTTATGGTATATTAGCGCCACCAACCGGAGCTCAAGTTAGCGCCTTCTTCTTCTTCTTGGTGTTTATTGGCGGTTGACAAACAACGACTTCGTGAATTACCGCCACCAACTGGTATGGAGAGCAGACCAGACTGTCACTTAAGGATTAGATCCTATCATGCTAGTTAAATATTGCTCGATAGCTTTTAGTACTTCAGTTATTTCTAAGCAAATCCAATTAAATCTAGTTTGAGTTTGATTGTATTTAGGTTTTGAATCAGTTGTCTTCTCTTTCTTCCTCACACTCCTGTCAGTGTAATATAACATGAGCTACTGTCTCAGCACAGCGCTCGCATATTCCGGTGCAATGTTTCCCTAAAATGAAAAGTGTTCCGTTTATCCCAGCGTGCCCAAATCTGAGACGTGAAATGATTGTTTCTCATTTCTCCAGTTTTCCTTTGGATTTTATAAAACCACCGTCCTTTCCTTTCTTTCTCCCATTGTTTTTGCAATCTCTCCTTTATTTTCTGTTCTAATTGATTTTTTTATTTCGGTTTAATACAGCTGATAATTAATTGCACTAATCTTTTTCCAGTGGCTCTTTTTTGCAGCCTTATCTGCCATTTCATTTCCCTTAACACTATAATATGCTGGTGGCCATACAAAAGTTAATCATTAGTCCTGTTATGTTTACTCTGCATGGTGTTTGTTGAGTTTCTATTAAGATGTCTGGTCGACTTTCTGCATGGTTGCATTGTAAACTTACTAACGATGAACTGGAATCTGAACAAATTACTGATCTTAATGGTCTCGTGTCTTCAACCCACTGGACAGTTAATAATATTGCAACCATTTTCCTGTGTATACTGAAAGTCAATCATTGATCCTTTTGCCTTCTTTATATTAAAGTCTGGTATAATAAAAGCTACAACATCTGTATACGTTTGTACAGGATTCTAATGGTGACTAATATATTTCTGTGCCATATGTGAGTTTAAAATAAACTCCTTATCCTCATTTCTATCTACTGTAGCCAAGTTATTTTTTTCCAGGTTTGACTGATTAATAAACATCACACGTCCCTGGATTATATTTTTCCCAAATTTAATCAGTGATTACTTCATATTATTATTATTATTGTTGTTTCTCAGGATACCAACTTCTGTGCTGCTGTATTAAGGTTTTGTTTGGGTTTTTATTTTCATATTTCATTTCCTTTGATCCGTGCATGTTCTCTGTCCTATTGTCTGTGCGGTTGTGCTTCAGACTGGTTAATTATCCATTGCTGACAATATGATAACACCTAAAAACACTTTGTTAGGTACATGTATTCAGTGCATGTACATTTCATG